CTTACCACAAATGAGTACCATGTGCAAGAAGTTTGATTTGACATATAATACAGTAAAAAGTTCAACATAGTTGCCCAGCAATGAAGCTCATTGTAGGTGGGGTTCAACTACATAATAAATCTTATGGCTACTTAAAATCGTCTTTTCTGTGTTATAATTCATTCACTTTACTGGGGGTTTAAAATTAATGTGATTTGCTGCACCTATGCGATTGTATGAAAGTTTTACCCTGGATATTTTCTCTGCGTAGCAAGGGCTTATTCTTAGTTGTCATGTTTTGAACGAAAGAATTGCAAGTTCTGTAAATCTCTTGATATATGGAGAGGTAGAGTAACATAGATGCTACTTGATGTTGGTCTGCTGTCCAACCATTTGGTGAAATTCTGACATGATCACATTCCTTACTTGGTGAAGGTTCCTTTTGTTTTTGGGCCTTATGTTGAAGGTCCTTATAACAACTGAATTTTCTTTGGTCATTAAAATATAGATCCTATTACAAATAACTTATTATAGCAAAAAATTGATGAGTAATTAAGATTTTGTGGCATGCAATATCTGCAAGGCCATCAAATAGCACATTGCAGGGCTTTGATACCAGTTTCAATAAATTACTTGGCCATTCTTTTTTATGACAGCTTTCAAGTTTAATGATTGGGAAGTGAGTATTGTTCTCAAGTTTAATGATTGAGAAGTGAGAACCTTAAATATAAGACTGATAGTTGGGAATGAAAAATCCTACGCTATATGATGAGAAGCTATGCACATAATTTCTTATTGGAATCAGGCTGCCTAATCTTACTACTCGTTCCTGGATTAGGCAAATTGTTTTGTTTTAGTTTTAAGTTTGTGAAAAAAGAAAAAAAGAAAAAAAAAAAAAGAACGATTATTATGGTTCAGGTGACAAGTGCGCGCATGCTCCTCTGTGTGTGTGGAGTTTCATATTAATTGAAAGGTTGATTCTTGCTGCTATTTGGCTCTCTATTTGATCAGAATTCTATATTTGACACGTGTGTTTCCAGCACACTATTTAACTAGTTTATATCAGAGATGTTTGGAGACAATCTGGTCCTGTCTTATTCCATGCTTCTTTTGGACCTGTCTTTTCTGAAATGGGAATGGAATATATTTTTAGCTCTTAGAGATTGACAAAAGCAGTTGACCTGACGTGTTGTATCGTTACAGGTATCAGGATTTTGATTGAATGCGACAATTGGCTTCAAATTGGGTATTGCGCCGGAGGCTGGGTGGGCTTGTGGATATGAAGACAATTTGAATTGCTAATTGCAAGCTTTGATGCCAGACGTGTAAAGCAAATACTGAAGGCTTTCCACCTTTCTCATTTCGGAACTGAACTTGCGCTGATTTTTGTTCGATAGTTGTTTGTGGATTGGAGTTCCTCTGCCCTAGCTCTGGCAGGAACACAAAGGTGAATATACTGAGATGGAAACAGGGCGCACCTTGCACACAAAAGAATCTGCATTCTGGAGTGTCCAATGAATTTGAAGCATGGATGCTCTGCTTTGTGAAAGTGGTTCATGCAGTACAGTGGCATTATGTGATGCATGTAAGCCAACCTTACTCAGCGGGATAATGTTGCTCCTTCTTCTTGTCGTGGATGGTGATGCTCTGTGGAAGTGAATGAAGACGGCAGATTCAGAACTTGCAGATATCTCAGTTCTGTTGGGATTTATTGCATGGGATGAAACTATGAAAGATGGATCTGAACTTAAATGATTGTTAGAATGTAGATGTAACTGAGGCTAGCTCCAATTTTTTATTGGATGGATTGAGATGTTGCACAGCCTTATCAGTTATTTTTGTTTGATCACCTGTAAAATTAACTCTTAGCATGTAGCTTTTCTCTAATTTATGTACCATTCATTTCCTCTTTACCAGTTTCTTCTCTCTATTACTTCAGGTACAGGACATTTCCTCATGTGGCCTAGTAGCCAAAAAGCCAAATCTCCAAGGCTGTATTTTTCATGCCATTGAAAAAGATTCATAATTATATGTAAGTTAAAGTATATATTTGATTTTTTAATTTTACACAAAATTTAAATGTGGTCTTTTAACTTTAAAAAAACATATATTTGGCCTTTTAATCCTAAAATTATTAGGCTTCAATGATTTTTTTATAACGATCATGGATTTTTTGAAAATTAAATTTAATATGTTAGTATTTGAGAATGTTTTATCAACATTTAAGATCTTGATGTCATCATTTTTTTAAAAAAAATTTAGAGTTAAAGAATTAAAGATATATTTTTTAAAGTTAAGGGGTTAAATTGAAACATTATACAAAATTAAAAGATTAAATATATATTTTAGTCTTATATGTATTTATAAATTGGAGTTGAAGCCTCCTCATTTGAATTTTCTTATTCTTCACTCATTGGTACGTTGCATCCAAGGAAGTTGATTCCGAGCTGTAATCCATACTTGTTCTAGTCAAATTCAATTCGGTTTTGGTCAAGTCAAAGATTGGATCTGCTCCCCTCATTTGGGACTCTTGGTATATGTATTATGTGTACTTTTAATATTATTATTATTCAATAATATTAGTTTCTTTCTATCATTTCTTTTATTAAAAGATTGAAGAGATAATTATTCTAAAATTATTTTTATTGCATTTTCTTTCTCATTCCATTTTACATATCAAATTGATTGAGTTTAATGAGTTTTTCAACAGGAATCTAGCGAGTATGCTTCACTGAGTCATTATTTATTAATCAATATTAATATGTATTTCTTAATTCTTAAATATAATACTAGAAAATTCTAAAGGTACATAAATTACTATAAATTTCATATTTTATAATGAATTATATTATTTATAAGTTATGAATAATACACTTTATTTATTAAATTTCATAAAAAGGCACCAAGAAACCTGTTTAGTTTGCCATTGCAAAAGGACGAGCAAATAGACGTCATATCATAATATGCAGAAGTGTGATAGCAAAAATCTCAAGTCAAATTTTATGTCTGCTTCTTTTAGCATATTTAAATTTACAAGTTAAAATAAATTGACTGTAGCTGTGGAATTTTTTTCTTTTAGTATGTTTAAAATTAGAGGTCACCGTAAATTTTCAGAAGCATCTTGAAAATAATTTGAAAACCAAAATATACCTTTTTTTTTAACTGACTGTAGTTAAATTGGAAATTCAAGAGTGTATTTTAGAGAAACTAAAAGATATTTTTAGAAATAATTATCTTTTCTAATTTTTTTATATTTACAAATAAGTTATCTAACTTTTATATGAAAAACCCCAAAAAAATACCTCTTGAATTTCAAAACTCCAAATAAATTTTTTTACTCTACTTTAATAACATTTGACTACATTTGAAAAACAAATAACAATCCATTTTTATAATAATTCCTGATTTGATATTTTAAAATTTTAAAGGTATTTTTCTGAAATTTTTTCATTTTTATATTAAGTACAATAGGGAGTAATTTCTTTGAACACATATATGTACCATTCGGAGTCCTTAATATAATAGGTAATTGGATGTTAAATTTGATCTTAAACTTAAAATCTCAATATATTTTATCTCCTAATTTTATTTTTTTTTTTGAAAATGTTTCTACTGTTATCTTTCAGGACGTGTATTTGATAGGGAAATGAGGGCAAAATACTGTGATGATATGATCGTATTCATTATTACTACGAATGCAGATTATTTGACCTTTCTTCGTAAAATGCACGGCATATGCTCGATTAAATGCCCAAAAGCAGTGCTTTTTGTTTTTGGATAGGCATTTAAGGCCAAGAGGTAGGATTCCCAAAGACGAACGGTATTGTGTAATGAAGTGGGGCGTGCTCTGCTTCGGTGAGACGTGGGAGCTTTACAACTTTCGAGTGATATTGAGCTGTTGGATCTAGCAGAGTTCACTTCTGGGAGCTATGACGCGATGCCATCAAGCTAGTTTTGCCTCCGTTCAGTCACCCAATATGTGTCTTTTAGGAGCTCAACGTCATCAAGCTATATGTTACGGTCACGAATATGTATATGCGTCTACAAGAAGATAGGCGTTCAAGGGGTAACGCAAAATAAGTTACTTGATATCGAGCCTTCTCGCAGCATGACTAAAGTTGATGGCACGTATTTATGAATCCATGGAAGGTCAGCAAGAACTTACTTGCTTCCCGCTTTATGATAGCCAACTTCTAGAAGTGCTCTAGGTCTTAGCCTTATAACTGTTTATCGACTTATTTGGCACTGTGTAGCTGTGGCATAAATGCGAGCCTTGAAAGTTGTCAGGTAATGGGTCTCTAGCATCCTTAAGGGCTTGTGTTAACTTATAGGTAGTATAGACGTTGTTAGTGGATTGTGTACTGGTCCTATTGGGCCACCCATCAATTCCCTATTTACTCCAATTTGTTGCCTATAATACGGCCTCATACGTAGTATATGTTCTGTACCATCTATTGATCTCACTGGCAAAGTAATTTCTTGATAACACTACATAACCGCTTGAATTCATTGCGCCATATGATACTTGAAACTTTGTAAGAGGAGCTCTGAACTAATGAAGTGTTAAAATTTTCAAAATGCCCGATAATTTGTCGTCTAAATTGAAGTTCACAAGTGGTTTTCAAAATATCAGAATGCAAAGGCTTTGATAATGTGCCTCCAGAAGAGGGCACAAATCTAACTACCACCAGATTGATGTGGATTTAGCAATGTATCAATCTTACTGTATCATTAATATAACTTCTTGAGATTTGGATCCCTTCCCAAAAAATTTCAGTACCCCTAACACTTGAGAGTTCCCCCCCCCCGGGTAACTGAACTGAAAGCCAATGCCCAAAATATTGCTACACGTATCCCAACATCAATTATATATATACCCTAGTACACATGCACAATGAACTGTATGTAGCTGAGTGGATGTTTAAACTGAAAATCTCTTGATAACTAGTCAAACCTATCACTGCTAGATCACTTTTGTCGTCTCTGTAAACTCTTGTTTGTAGTTTCTCGCAGCATGAACTTGAAATTTCTAAGCAACTTATCTTGAATTTCATGAGAAATATTTGAAGGAAGGAATGAATTTTAACTAAAAGCAAAACATTACCGGAAAAAACAGAAGTTTGAAGATTAACTACTTGAATTTCTGCTCAAGTTTGCTATCAATTAGAAGTTCTAGTCATAGCAACATTACTTGTTTAACTTAATACCCTTACTATCTAAGTTCATGTTGAACCATACCTGCCGAAATACCTTGATGATGAGATCATGGTATTCATCAGAATTCAAAGTCAGATAACATGCTAAAAGCTCTTCCATTTCCTCTGGCTGGCTGATCTGCTTCTCTCTGATCATCTCAACCATTGAATCTCTGAAGTCTTGTTGTGGGTCCAATGAAAACTTTACCACGGCAAAGCTATCTAAGCCTTGCTTTCCCTCCCTGATTTTCTCCTTTGCTTTCTTCATCTTTAGTTTCGCTTTTCTCATCTCTTCTATAGCCTTTATTTTACATGTTTCAACATTGGAGCCCATCCTTGGAGAAAATACTTTGACCTTGGTGCTGTTCTTTGATTTCCTCCTTTGGATTTCTCCGCTCACTTGAAGTGCCTCACTCTTCTTTGCATTCTTTGCCTTCAACTCCTCAGTTTGATGTAAAATCTGTCTCTCATGTTTCTGAAGGCTCAGAGTATTAAATGCATGACCTTTCATTCGCGCATGGCTAGACTTCTTAAAATCTTCAAAATGGGCAAAAGATTGTCTTCTTGGTGTCCAGATTGTTCCAGGTGATCCAAGTTGTGGCGTCTCCTTCACTAACGATAAAGCTGATGCATCCTCTGCTTCTCTTTCCAATTTTAAGACTTGCTCTTGCAATACTCTTTGAGCTTTCCTCTCAAATCTCCTCCTCAACTTTTCAAATTCCTTTCCTCGACTATGCTCATCCATCTTTGGCAAAATCTTAGTATCATTTGGCAACTTTCTTTGATCCTCCTTGAACGTTGAAGTCCCCTCTATTCTTCCTTCCTGTTTCTCAGCATTCCATCTACGACCTATATCCAACTTGTGCATTACTGATTTCACAGTATCTTCACTTTTCTTGCGTTCATGGTTGTCCTCGCCAAATGAAAGTCTCCAAAAAGCGTCATCATCCTTACCGTAAAACCTACCATCATTACCACAACTATACTGCATTGAAGTAGCGGATGGAGAATTCAGCACACCCTTTTGTTTCAATTTTCCAGGAACTGGCTCTGTGCTGATTTTCATCTTCTTGAACTTGGACAGCCATGAAAGGGGAGATACATGAGAGATGAAAGATGGTTTAGATGAAGAAGAAACTGAGGAGGATTTTCTTCTACCGCACTTCATAATCTGCTGGTATTGGCAAGATATGATTCTCTTGTGTTTTTGGATTGGAATTTATTGGTTGGATTTTGGCTTATGCTAGTTTCAAATGGAGAGAACTAAAGTTATGGTTGTCTGGAAGAAGGAGGTGAAAGAATAAGGGGGATTCACGTTGCTGCAGGGAGTGGGAAGGCTAGGCTGTTAAATAGGAAGGCATGTTTCTTACTAGTTGTTTTTTATCCCCTCTATGCCTATGTTTTCAAAAGAGACACCCGCCCCAATTCCTGTGACCCCTTAGCTACTTTTCCCACTTTCTATTGTGTACTGGTAAAAAGATTTGTGCCAGCACTGGGGACCACTTTTCTAGGCCCACAAAGTCATAGTGGGACCTCTTCTAATGTCCACAAAGTAATATTGCCACTATTTTGAATCTTCTTTTTGAGTAGATTAAATTTTCTTTGTAAAAGATTTTATTTTTCTTCATTTATTTCTCTATATATTAGTCACTCTCAAAAGCTATGCTTCTCAATTTAAGGCCCGAAATATTATTACCAAATCAACATATCTCTATATGTAGCTAAAGATAGAATTTCACGTGCTTCCACATGTGTTTTTAATCACAATAATTATCGTTTTAAATCAGAGTTTGATTTCATTGCGTTGAAGAGTCCACAATTGAATTTCTTTTTTCAAATCAATTTTTTGATTGTGCTCAAATATTTGAAGAATAAATTGGGAGTAAATCAATCTTTCCGGTTCTATCTTGAAAACCCTGATTTTTGGATGATCAACATATGAGTAATCTTTTGAAGACTATATTGATCCATTCTATTATGAAATTTCATATGTTGATGCATGAAAAATTTAATCTTGAAGTCGGTAAGAAATGAATCTTGAGATATACGTGGATTAAAGGAAATAAAGGAGAAGGAAATTGACAGGAATGAAATTCAATTAAGTTTTTCCCTTACTGAGATTTTTCAAGACCATTCATTCACTTTCATTCTCATTTATCTTCAATCTAAAATTTTCTTAGCAGGCATTATGTTTCATTGATCAAACCAAAGAGATAGATTCATTGAGATAAGACCGAATACCGAAGAAGATAATAGTAATTCCAATGGGCTATTGTGACTGCTTAGTTAAACATAGGTTATGAGTAAGAGACTTAGAAAGTAAAGGACACCATGGATTAGTTTCAGAATCAAGAAGACTTACTTACAAGAGGTTGCCTGTGACCTTGAAGTAATCATCATAACTAAACATGTAGCCCACAATGTGTCATTTTCGTCAACACCAGGGCATTAGGTGGAATGTTGTCTTTAGTGGAGATTAGCTTCAATGTTTACGTAACAGGAAGCATGTCTATTGTAGCAATTCGTGCATAATTTAGCAGGAAACCATGTGGGTTCATAATATTCACATAAAAGACAAGAATAAAGGAGTTGTTAAGATTTCTCTTTTTGTAATATGGTGATGTAGAAGGCTAAGTTCTCCTTCCACTCATATTCTGCCTGCAGAGTCTTTGCTTCTCTTTCTTTCTTTTTCTTTTTCTGGCTTTATTTCTTTACACAATGTGTCTCAATCTTCCCGTTGAATCATCTATCCATGGTTTGTACACTGTGAGCTGTTGCTAGGTTTTTTGTGTTTCTGGGTTGGGATAGTCTTCTTGGGTCCCACCTGTCAACATGTATACTGTTAATTATTCTAGTTTAATTTAGACCAACAAGAAAGCCTTCTCTTTAATTTCTTTCGCAGCTAGGTTATATATGTTAGTAAGAAAATTTCACAAGATAAATGGATTTTTCTTTCTTTCCAGAAAACTTGTATTGGCTACATTTTCTACGTTAAAAAAACTATCTTTTGTTCAATAAAGCTTGTATTAATCATTTCATTAATATTAAAATAAAGCATATAATTTATTGTAAACTACACAGCTTATAATGCACAAGGAAATAATGTGGTTTTATTACTTGTAATGTTTCAAACAATGGACAATTCGGTTAAGGAAATAATTAGTCATGCAAACTGATGAACAGTGGCAGACGTTAGATTTTAGAAATTTTAAGCATTATTAATAAAGTAGATTATAACATGGCTATTGGAGTTTTTCTTTTTTTGAGAACAGTTTCAAATTTAAGCAGGCCTTAGCTTTTTAAGTGTCTGTGAAGTCCGAGTTTAAATTGAATAAAATAGTTAAGTTTGGGTTCAACTAGACATATTTTAAACTTCTATTCTGGTATGCATAGAAATGTCTAATATTTGATCCAAAACTTGATAATTAAACATTCCTAGGTCAAATAAAAATATTTTAAGTATAACTTCAATTTGGGTCGAGTCTTGAAGTAACTTTAATTAATTCTATATTTAATTGGTTACGTTTGCTTCACATAAATACTTATTCGGTCTTAAATATAAAACCTATTTTATAATTTAAATTACACTATAAAATGAGTCTTATATTTAGAACTGGGAGAGTAATAAATAATAGGATTGCGCAAGTAAAAATAAGAGAACATACCTTGTATATTTTTTTGGGTCCCTTTTGGTAGGAAGCATTGAAAATAAGGGTAGGGATTGTGATTAGGATTGAAAAACTTTGTTAAAAGAATGTTTAGCATGAGAAATTTCTTGTTACATGGAATTAGACAAACCCATATATGTGGGATTAGAGAACACCATGGTGGAATGTCGTATTCTCCAATCTCATCCCAATGGGTTTGCCTAATCATATGTAACAAGTAATTATTCATACTAAATATTTTTTGAATAATTTTTCTCAATTACAATTTCAATCCCTATCCCTTTTTTTCTTTTGAGTGAAAAAGAATTTATTAAAAACAATAATTATAAACGGTGTTCACGGAGGAAACAACAAAACAGTGCGTCAAAAGAAGAGAGAGCTCATTAAATATTATGAGTGTTCCTTATGTGCGTACACTAGGAGAAAGCTTCGTTCATCAGACGGTAGGCCTCCATAAGTTCACTACAGAAGAGGCGACGGTTTCTTGCACTCCAAAGCTTCCAGCAGGTAACCCTAAATGGAGTACTCCAAGTCTGATCCTGCTTCAAATTTGCCTTGAACCAGGCCTCCTATCTCTCATTTTTAATGCTTCATACCAAACAGGACCTATGTGCCTCAACCCTTGCATTCCCAAAAAGAATAGCAAGGTTGCAAATTATCTATCTAGTTTCGTTCAATTCATATTATGCAAGTAAAGGTTATATGGTCATAATAATTTTCACAAATTATAAACACTCTGATTTGTCTCAGATTTTCATTTGAATGTAAAGGACTTGTTCTAATAATTTTGAGTTGGATAAATAATTACTACCTCCGGTCCTTAATGTAAGATCTTATTTGACTTTTATTTTGGTTTTAAATATAAGATTCTAATCCATTTTATCTCTCATATTTATCTTTTTTTTTTCCTAAGATAGTCCTCCCAACAATAATAGTTCTAGCCAATAAACTTGATTAGCAAGGATATTTTAGGAAAGACAACATTATTTATTACAAATAACAAACTTAATTTATTTTTTTAATCTACTAAAATTAGTCAACTGATTTTTATATTTAGGACCGGAGGTAGTATATTGGACCACTTGGTTAAGTTTGGTAACAGACAAAGTCAATCATATTGGCCAGTTTGATATCATCCAACCATATCTATCCTACTAGCTTTAGTCTTCAATAAAAATATTAGATAATTAATTTAAAGAGATTAAAAAAATTAGTTAAGTTGGTTAATCATAACAAATATGTATTAACTGTCCCTAACTACCATCTTTAATAATGTGTATTAAAATTATTTCTTAGTGAAAACCTCTTAATATTATAGAAAAAAATTGTTAATTTCAAAGATAAGATAGATTGAAATATTATATTCAGGTCTTAGGACCAAATTAGCTTGTAATTAGTTTTTATATTAAGGATTAGAGGTAGTATTACTTTTTTTTTTAACAAAATTAAAAGAAAATAGGTGAAATTTTCTAGTGTTTTATATTTTTTAACCTAACAATTTAACGCCACACACATATATCCAAGCACCCACATCCGCACACATCAGCACATGTTTGCACTCGTGATCGCTCCTACAAAGGGGTGATATTTTGTGCTACTAAACCCAAAAGTGTTCGTCTTTACAATGATTTACATGAAAATTTTATTTTAGAAGTCACTTAGTAATTTTTTATCCAATATTTTTCTTACCAACTGACCTTGTTAGAAAAATTGAATCAAGCCAAACCCTAGCAATAGGAAAGAACCCCGCAAAACCGCACTAGCATTGGGATACGCTAGTATGCCATCAACTTTGTGCTCTTTTGAAATCACTTATAAAAGTATTTATAAGCATTTTTTTATATAAATTGAGATAAAAATCTTCTTATATATTTACTTTATATTTTGTAAATCATGATTGAAAAACTGTTTTTGAAGGTTTCAATTACCATTCCAAACAAATAAATGATTCATGTAGTCAACAAATAATAACATTCTTAGTTTCTTTTTATAAGAATTATATATAATTAAATTATTTCAAACATGTAGACACTAATAACTTGAGATTATAAGTGAGATTGAACTCATCACGTTCTATTTACAAGAGAATTTTTAGGCTACTAGGCCATAGAATTATTGACTAAATTCATTTTTTAGGGCCTTACAGTCAGTAAGGCTCTTGTTTCTTATGCTGACGAGAAGCGAGGCAACTCTCAGTAACTTGGATTCAAAGGGAATCTCTTCCTTTGTTGGTTACCATTATTTCTTGTGCCATATATGAAAGGACTCCTGTCATCCTTCTACTTTGAAACTCTAAGGCAAAAAGTGTACATTATTAGATGGGGGAATGTAGCTTATCCCACCCTATATAGATATGTGTTGTTTTGAGTTTTGACCTATTATAGGTTGGGAAAAGGGAAAACAGTGGGTTGGGTTGGACCAAATCACTTTTTGGTGCATCAATTAATGGATTATATGTGGACTAGCCTATATATGTCTCTATGCTTTTTTATTTTAAATATATGGCTAATAAATTTTTAAAAAAAATTTATTTGCGTACCCACTTTCAAAGTATTGCATGCTTAGAATTTAAAAGAAATGTATTCGAATCTACAGTTTAAACAAATGGATGAAAATATGCAAAATATCAACAAATAATAAAATGAAGACACATATCATTGTTAATTTATTAGTAGCTTTTCTAGATATTTGTGATTAAATATGTATAAATAAAATAAATATTAAATTATTTATATTTATTTTAATTATATATAAAAAAAATGAAGAAGACAAGCCACCCTCTTAACTCATAGGTTGTGAGTTAAGCCCAAGTTGGCCCACTTCAAATTTCAGAATTCATATCATTTTTGCAACTGAGCTAAATGGGTCAACCCAATAGATCAATTCATTAATGCCAGTGTTAATTATTAATTGAATAAGTAGGGACAAATGTGATTAAAAAAGATAGTAAAATACAATCATTATGAAAAAGAATGCAGATAGCCTCAGTGCTTATCGTAGAACGCTTTCTAGAAGGTGTTTATGATCCCTTTTGTAAGGCACTTGATAGTTTTAAAGAATATTAAATATAACTTTTCAGTATATATCCATATTTGTTGGCAACTATATACACCCATATATAATAAAGATAATGATAGAAGATATAAATTAATATGATGTTGAAGCTTAGTGTAATTAATATAGGTCATATTAAAAATTATTTAATTTTATGAAAAATTTAATTTTTTTAATTATATATATATGTGTATATATCATCCTGTATGCTTAGAGTGTGTGAGACATATACACTGCATCCGGGGGATGTTTGCGTTGGTTGCAAGAGGTCTTTAACAATTAGAACGGCTTGAGACAACCGAAGCAACTACCGATCAATTTAGTATATGAAATGACCAAAATATTCCAAAGTCATCACTAACCAATCATCACTTGAGGGACCTTTAACCATCAATGGCATTTTTTGTTCTTATTCTTGTAGAAATTTGACCTTCAAGCAAAGCTTATTTTCACACATAGAGGAGTCATAATGAATATGGTCATAAATAAAGTTTTATATTCTAAAAGGAGATTACAGTGGTAATGGCCTTGTAGCTTTTTTTTTTTTAAGTTATGCGTAAGTATCCTCTAATTAAAAGTAGTCTTATTCGAGACACTGTCGGGCACTAAATGTAGGTATTTTTTTCAGTAAAAATTCAAATCATGGTTTGTTAATAGCCTTGTAGTTGAATAGTATGAAAACTTCCCGATAAATAGGAAGCCATGGATCTCATCTCACTTATAACCATTAGGTCCTTAGTATTTGCTCTGGTAATTTTGGGGGGGGGGGGGAGGAACACTCTTCTGCCATGAAACAAGTCATTCATTTTGAATTCCATATTCTCTTCCTTTGGTTTGCTTGTCTATTACTTCACCCATTCTCTCTATCCACAGGGGAGAGAGACGCTTGAAGCAATTTTAATCCGAACTTAGAAGCATTCAATCCTACAATTGGGCTACATGGCTGCATCTATGGATATACATTTCATTTGTTTAAATTAATAGTATTTGTGAAGGATAAAAATGAAAACTGATTCAATTTTAGGACAATTTTAATGCATCAACCAACTTATTTTAATTCTAATGGGTTGGCCATCAATAATTTATACTCTTCTGTCCTATTTACTTCTTTGGTTCTATTTATAAGTCACTTCCAACATGTTTTGCTCAAACAAAGGAAAATCTTAAACTCCTTTAACTTTCATTTAAAATTTAACAACTTTCTAACTTTATACATATTTAATATACATTATATCTCATGTAAACAAAGTCAACACAATAATAAATAAAGGGCAAAATTATACATCCCTATAAAAAAATTTTCTCAGTATCCTATAAATAGGACCAAAAAAGTCTTCTTTTTCTGCTTTATAAATCAAACCAAAGGAGTATAGTGCACGAGGGTTTTTTTATGGTTAATATAAGTCATCTCATTAAACTTATCATATGAATATCGGACAATTTTACTTCCAATATATTATTTTTAGACTTCTCAATTCTCTCTCATCCCTTCATATTAAATAGGAGTGAAATTAAAAAGTTATTAAATTTTAAAACATAATTAATGAGATTTTAAGTTACTCTTGATTCTGATGAAATATATTGAAAATTATTTATGCATAAAAATATATGGATATACATAGGATTCAAAGGAGTGGCTATGTTACCTTTAGGATTTTCTTGCCTTGAGCATACAAGCTGCAATTAACTTTCCAATAAAGGGGCATTCAAGCATTGATAATCCAAATCAGAGGTTTAATGACGAAGCTTCCTTTTTTGATAAAAAGGTAGTGCTTAACTATTTAAGAGTTCTTATTCCCAGTTGAAAAACCCAAAGGAGGAAAAATGTAAAAGATAGATGGGGAAGAAGGTAAAGGGAACAAACCCAAGTGGGAAATGATCAATCAATAATTAGTTGCACCTAATATTTTGTTCCTTTTGTTCTTTTCTCTTAATTGATTCTTTCTTCTATGGCATTGAGAAAAATGCGAAACATAGTCAATGTCACTGAAAATATAATGCATTTGTCTGTGTTCTTCTTGCACCACTGATGATGCTACCAAAAATTCTTCGGTAAGATCTGTTTAATTAAAAATAATTATCTTAAACTAATTAGGAAAGAATACACACACCCACACACACAAAATTCAAGACAGAAAACATTTTTAATTTCTCTATATGAATTGATTTGAATTTTCTGACAAACCAGGATGTTGAGACTCTCATGAATTGAATATTTTAAACAGTAAAATCTGGATCTGTTTGATTCCTACATTGTCTGTGCAAGATTTGTTTTTCTCACTTTAAAGATACTTTACAAGTTCCACAAGTCCAACAAGATTCTCTTGCAAAGCTACTTGTATAACGTGTTACTTGATCTATACATAATTGGTTGCCAAGTAAAAGCTATTGGACCAGCAAGTAGTTGTAAGAAAAGCATAGGTTGTCACTTTCTTCATTGGTTGGTAAACGAGTTTTGACAAATTTGAGCCAGAACCTTCATTATAGGAGGAAACATGCAACAATAATACGACATTGGATCAAAAGATAACTGTAAAGGTAATTCAACCCCTACATGTTAGCAGATAAAACAGGAGAGTGTCAACTTCATTAATCAACACGAAGAAAGAAACATAAGCTGAAAACCCATAATTATAAGTCATTCCCTTTAGATCCATACTTGTTTGGCTTACAGAACATGAACTTGTGATAAGGCTTTATTATTCTAAATTCTAATGGCCAAACAGAGGATCCCCTGTTTTCTTCTTCTTGTTCTTCTGGTTTTGCTTGATCTTTTCAGGGCTTTTGTTAATGCTTCTGTAGATGGGTATGTATCAGCTGTGGGTGATCCAGGAATGAGAAGAGATGGTCTGAGATTGGCCATAGAGTCATGGAATCAGTGCAATGAAGTCGGAGATGAAGTTCCTCAAATGGGCAGCCCGAGAGCTGCTGATTGCTTTGATATTCATAATGCCTCTTCACAGCCAAAAGGTAAGCTTTCATAAAATTTATGATTTTATTCTCTGCCTCAAAATCAAAATGTGTGAACTCAATACTTACAAAATGAAGCATCCTATATTTAATACTTGCACTATTGTGATGTTCATATCTTGCTGTCATCTCAATAATGCAACAAGAAAACAAAGAGTAAGAAATAAACTTTATTTCTCACTTTCAAAAATGAGTGCGTCAAATTTTTTTTTTTCCACTTTAGAACTTGAAAGTCTTTTTCAAGGTATTTAAACGATAATATGCAGTGTTTCAATGAGGGGGAAAAAAATTATATAAAACTGAAAGATAATAAACTTTCCCGTAATAAACTATCAACAAAAAAGGAAAAAAAAATCTTTTGGAGTCAATTGCTTTATCCCTCTGATGTTCTTCTGGTTCCTCTATTCTTGTGCCCTGGAAGGCTAACAATAGCGTTGTTTTAGAGAAGAACAGCTCTCTATCCAGTTTTCCTCTCTACAGATTGGTCCACAAGGTCACAGAAGATGACAACAGGCTAGGTGCTGGAGATTCCTTCGAAGGGCTACAAGAAAAAGCCCTTCACAATGTGGATCTCTATGCTACGGAGAAAGAACTGTATTTGGCATCAAAATGTGAAGTTAAAGAAACTCCAAATCCATGGCAGTTCTGGATGATCATGCTTAAGAATGGCAATATGGACACTATGGCGGCCAAGTGCCCTAAAAATGGCTTCAGAGTAGGACCTTTTGCCAATGATGGTAGCTTCCCTTGCTTTGGGGAAGGGTGTATGAACCAGCCATTGATTCATCATGACTATACCAAAATTGAAGAACCTAATAGGGCTCTTCTTAAGGGAAGGTTTTATGGGTCTTGGGATTTGGAAACTAATTTGAGCTTAGGATCATTAGGGCAAAACGAGTCTTACTACTCTGTGACTTGGCAAAAGGAAATTGGCAAGGGAAGTTGGGTTTTTCACCATGTTTTGAGGACCTCCGTAAGGTATCCATGGCTGATGCTTTACTTGAGATCAGATGCCACATCTGGTTTTTCTGGTGGATACCATTATCCAACTAGAGGAATGTCTAAAATTGTGAGCCACCTTTTCTCTCTTTAGTCTCATTCATACTTTGCTTTCTGAGAAATTCTTCATCATAATGTCTCTTTGTGTAGTTCCTAGTACAAAGAGTCGACTCATTGTTGAACAGTTAGCTGATCCATCAATTATATGTGCCTAAGAATTTTTCTTTTCGCTCTTCTAGGCTTGACATCAAAATTAACCTCAGAAAGCTTCATCGTAATTACAGAATATCAGCAAATTCCACAACTTTGTGTTGCAGCCGCCAAAAACTTGCTCACGTCATTCCTTTAGGTTTTGCTTGAAAGCAAAGTTAACTTGTTGCAATGTTTGAACTGTAATCTGCGCTGTGTTCAATGAATTTCTGGGACTTGATAGAATGCATCATGTCTATGTTAAACATTTATCAAATTTGCAAGTAAACTGTCAATATAAAATTCACAACAAGCCATGTTACTCATAAATCAGGAGTATGTGTTTGGTTAGATGTGATATAAAACTTCAAATCATGCGTGGGAACTTCGTGTTGGAATGTGGATTCTCAAATGTGCAACATATTTGGTATCAATTTGCATGGTTCTTGATTATGCAGATCCCAGAATCACCAAACTTCAAAGTGAGATTCACTCTGAACGTCCTAGAAGGAGGAGGGAGTAACGGTCAGTTCTACCTGATGGACATAGGAAGCTGCTGGAAGAATAATGGACAACCTTGTGATGGTGATGTAACAACAGATGTCACCAGATACAGTGAGATGATCATTAATCCAAGCATAACCTCATGGTGTCACAAAGACAACCTCAACGCGTGTCCACCATATCATACTTTTCCCAACAGGACACGTGTCCATCGCACGGACACTTTACACTTCCCTTATGATGCCTACCATTTGTACTGCTCTCCTGGGAATGCAGAGCACCTTGAAGTACCCTACAGTTTGTGTGACCCTTACAGCAATCCTCAGCCACAAGAGATAGTGCAAATTCTGCCACACCCAGTTTGGGCTGAGTATGGGTACCCTACAAAGCAAGGACAAGGCTGGATTGGGGATCCTAAGACATGGGAGCTTGATGTTGGTAGATTGTCACACTCACTTTACTTTTACCAGGTTATAGATTCTTCTTCTTGTGGATATCTTAATGAAGATAAATTTAAATAGTTTAGCTTTTGTCAAAGTTCATCAATTTCTTCGTTTCACTTTATTTTTTCCTTCCCAGTTCAAAATCTTTAGACAACAAATGAAACAGTCCATGCTTATATGTGTTGTCTCAATATATCCAAAAAAGCCAATAGCTTTATGACCCAGTGGCATGAGAACTTCCATATAAGTGGGAGGTCGAGAGTTCAATCCTGCTTGTAACCTCAAACTGTTAATGCTTGTCCGGTTAATTCAAAAGAAAAAAAATGTCCAAAGCAAAATGAGTGGTCTTGAATTAATTTCCAATACCAATATATATATATATATGTATGTATGTATGCACACACTTGCATTTAAGTTGTTCTGATTAATATGTGTGGTTGCAGGAGCCAGGGACAGGTCCAGCAAGAAGACAATGGAGTTCTGTTAACATTGGGACAGAGATTTTCAAAGAAGCTCATCAAACTGCCATTTGGACTGTCTCTGACTTTGACATCCTCATTCCCTCTCCTTAAATTCATTTGCTTTTTCTTCTTTCAAGACTCTATTCCTTTACATCACACAAGTATGTTCTTCTTTGTTCATTGTACCCCAAAAAAACAGATGTTCTTCTTTGTTCATCTTCCAACACTTCCCCAAAAAACCCATTCAGTTTAATTACTGCCAAATCTCCACATTGTATTATTCATTTGCAAACTGCAACCTTCTGCACAAATTCATTTATTATGACTGTAAATCACCCATCTCTCGTTGCAATGGAGACCATTGGAATCACAGAAATACAATGTGATATCATTATAGAGAACAAATTTTTTTTAATATTTTAAAGATGTTCAAAACTTCAAATCATCTACGTTCACAAAAATATATTCGTATAGTAAATTTAGAAAGAGGCAGAGGCATAAAGATGAGATAAGGCCCACATATAATTATACTAGTTAGTGTCGTTTTCTTTTGTATGCATAAATATAAAAACTTTATAAGAGAATGAAGAACCTTCTGGAGAATTATTATACAAAAAGAAACACTTATCTTCTTTCTTAAAATACAAGACCACAACTAAAACCCATATGGAGGGGGGGGGGGGAATTATGTTAGCAATCAAAATATTCCTTTACCCTATATGATCCTAAATGCCTCATGATCAGCTTCTACATAGTGAACTTGATGAGTAGGTTGATCAGCAAATTTATTAATTCATCCAAATATTCCTTCGGTCTTAAATATAAAACTCATTTTGTAATATAAATTACACTATAAAATAGGTATTATATTTAGAACTGGAGGAGTATATCATAAAAAATAATCATCTACTGCATACAATTAAATCTTTGAACTCTTTAACCTTCTCACATCTTTGAGCATAATAAAGATTTAAATTCTATGTGGATATATAATGATTTGCAATTAGAAAAAAACAAAGAAAGAAAAATCATGGGGACCCCAAAACAACCAACTTGATGTGCTACTTGATGTTTCAAAAGCATGGAAGGAAGAAAGAATCAATAAAGCAATTGAGAAGCACAGAGTGATGTTTTCATGATTAGGATCCTTCCACTTCAATTGAAGGGTTTGTATATATCACACAAGATAAGTTCAACCACACCATCTCTCAAAAATTCCCCCACAAACTCCCAATTGCTTCTCAATTATGTGCCCTCTTCATGCCCCTCCACTTCCTTCATAATCAATCTTTCAGGGAAAAATTGACAAAAATTTTCATTCTTATATTTAACGACATATCTCAGTAACAATTCGGTCTCATCAGTCTCTGATTAATTAAAAAAGTGAAAACAATCAGATATGCATGCCTTACAACCTTAAAAAATAGTGCGTTAAAACTCTTTGAAGCTCAATTATGTAAGATCTTTATCGAAATAATTTTGAGAGTAAGAAATGATTTTATGATATTACTTTGGAAAGTGAAAAAAATTGATTATGAAATAATAATTGTAAACAATAGACATTATAAAAACGATAATTTCTTCAACTTAATTACCAATAATGAATTTCTCTAATCACGTCCCAGAACATGATACAAGTAATTATGGTCACTATTTATTCAAGAGCTGTTTGGAGCACCAGATAAGAATATCTCCAGGTTAGGAATCCTTCAACTTCTTTGAATACCAACTTACCAAGGGTGGCAGGCAAGTATGGGATTAAATTTAAAGTCACAATTTTCATAATTTTTGAATTTTTGCTCCTTGTCAAAACATATGGGCAAACAGAGATAATTCAAAGCTATTGGGAAATCAATCTTGCAAATTGATCCCCCAGTTAATAAATGGGCAAACAGAGAAATCAAAGGCAAACAAGGGGATTAATCATTGTTAATTATCATGTAACTCAACCTTAGTTAATGCATATCCTGTAGCACTCTATATACAAGATTTTTTTTTTTTATTGTATTGCGTGAAATTTAAACTTAAAATAAGTTGTATTGTTTATAGCATAAATAATACGATTTATTATATATTTTATTTTATGAAATAAAATTCTGATAATCAAATGATGAATAGTCTATTGAAATTATTGTTGGAAATAAGGCTGAAAATTCTACAAGATAATCAAGTGAGTACCTAAACCAATGACAATAAACTCTAAAGCAACAAGTTCTTGTCGACTTAGAAAAGAATGCACTATTAATTTATGTTAAACTTTGAACAGCCAACCATCTCTTCCTGCCATAGAATTTTATTGACTTTGCAATTCAAACCTTTGCATAAGCTGTTTGCCCCACGCACAAAAAAGGAATAGGCATGACTATTAGCAAAATCAGCATCCTATATTTAACCAAAATATTTCGAGAGAAAGTAACATTAAAGAATGAGATTGCATACAAGTATATTTCCTTTTTTGAACATTGCATCGTATCCACTCCATTTTTCTGTATTTCTCTTGGTTGAATAATATAGAGTCAATTTTATAATTGCAAAAAATCTGCATTAGAGCCACTCACATGGGACTGCCTAGAAAAAACCAGTTGGCGCCTCCTTATCAAACCTGGTATTTGGTCATATGTGCCATTATGCAGAAGAATAAGTTAAATCATCCTCCACCACTCAGGAGAAAAGTACTTTAGTCTCCGGAATAATGATGTTTGAAAAATCTTGCCCACTTTTGTTTTTTTTAAAACCAGGATCTTCATATAATATGCTGCAGAATTTTATAGAAAAAGAATAGCCCACCACTTATGACGACACCCAGTCATTGCTGCTCACTTTATCTGAGAACACATGTGAATCATTCACTAACAACGCAAGGAATGAAAGTCATCATTTCTGTGATCCACCTTTGCTCTTAAGAAACTTTATGGCAGAAGAAGAAAAACCTACTGATGTCATTTTGGTAAAAAGCGATGAACATTCATAATCTTTTAAAGCATAGGTTCTTGTTCAAAAGAATGAGTGGATTGTACTAACCCAGAGTTCAGCATGTTTCACATTGGAGGCATACTCAGATGGGAATCGCCAGTAAGACACAGCTCAGAGCGGAGACTGGCGATTTGACGACAGATGCGTGCAGCATATAACTTGATCCACTTCTGCCACAATTTATGCAAAGATGACGCATGAAAATTGCAGGATGCCATAGCACACAACAGACATTCTTTTCTTGTTCCTTTTCTTAACTAATTTGACCTGTGAAAGCTACTTTCAGCCATACCCGCATATGTTTGTTACACACTAACCCCATCCAAGTTTTACTCAAATTTTGAAGCATCAAGTTTTGGTGTGACTAATTAAAATTAAATTTTAATGAGGATGCACTGCGTATATGAGCAACTGTTACCATAAAATGTCATTTTTAAACACTTACCAGCCGTGAAGGCCAGAAAGGAGAAAAGGATAAAGGGAGGCTGAATCGATCATCATCTTCTTCTTCTCCTTTTTTTTTTCTTTTTTTTTTTCTTTTGCTTCCATAACTTAAAAAGGTTACAAGCATGTTTAAGCCACCTGTTCAACAGCACTCAATGTTTCTCTTATAATACATATGGTATAGCCTGTGACTTCTTATGATTATAAATTTCAATGAAAGAATTCTATAACAACGTCCAATAAAAATTGGAGAACGAAATAAACTGGTTTTGACACTACACAACAGGTACAGAGATGGACATTGGTACTGAGACATCACCAGCAAAGCTTGTATCCCTGTCTGCAGCTGAATTGCTGGCATATGCATACCCTACACCTAAACCACCATAATGCAAAGTTGCATTTTCACATCTCTGAAACACCCTAGCCAGGGAAGCTGCTTTTCTTCTTGCCCGCTTTGTCCCGGTGAAAAGCAATGTCTGGAGCAATCCTGCCAAAGCAGGTGCCCTAACCACCCTTTCGGTTGCAGCTGCACCCCCACTCCGGCACAGCTCAAGCAAGGCTGCAACCGCATTCTCTTTACCTCTTGGTGTCCCACATCGCATCATTCCGATTAATCCAGCTACAGCTGCTTCCTCATTAACCACAGCCTTGGCTCCAATAGGCTGCCGAACAATCAAGGCCAAGGAACCTGCTGCTTCCTCGGCAACTCCTTCATTTCCCAAAGCCACAACAAGAGCTGTCACTGCCCCTGCTTCAATCATTCTAACACAGTTCTCAGCGTGGGTGGAAAGGTTAAACAAAGCTGTCACAGCATCCTTCTTCCCTCTTGGCGTCCCCTCTTGCAACAAATCAGCCAGGGCTTCCACAGCTCCCACCTTATCTGCAATTCTCTTCTTGTAGTCATGGACAGCAGATAGACTGAACAATGTTGCGGCAGCATTTTCCCTTGCCTCTGTTGTTTGCCCAAATCTCAACACGTCAACTATTGATGCCAGACATCCTTCCTCGTCCATTATCTGACTTTTGTTCTTCTCATAAATTGATAGGTTGAGCAATGCAGTTACAGAATTCTCCTGGGCAACAGCGTTAGGAGAGGAAAGTAACTTTTGAAGATGAGGAATAGCCCCAGCTTCTGCAATGAAGGCCCGATTTTCTTTTCCTGTTTTTGCTAGCAATCGAATCTCCCGAGCAGCAACAGTCTTTGCAACTTGTGAGCCATCCGCAAGCTGCTGAATAAGAAGTGATGCTGTTGCTCTGTTGGCTTCAAGGGCGGCCTTTGTAGGAGAAGTTGATGCAAAAATTTCAACTGAAGGATCCATTAACTCTGGTGGATCATAGGGAATTCCATGAGCAGTGCACCATTGCATGATCAGATTCCTAAGAGACCGATTAGGAACAAGGCGCGTGCTGGTAAGCATTTGCCCAGTTTTTGGACAAGTGCAGTGCCCATCATCTATCCAGCGGGATATGGAACTTCGATCATATGTCTGTCCTGTGGAAATTATAACTGGGTCACGCATGAGATCCAGTGTTATTGGACAGCAAAAGTCCTTGGGAATACTTATAAACGTTCCAGCAATTTCTTGACTAATCAATCCCCTTCTGGGCTTCTTCTTACATCCACTGCATAACTCCAGCTCATCTTCCTCAAATCCAAAAAGCAAAAATCTGCAATACCGGGTCAAAGCAACAAGCCCATTAAGCACAGAAATTGTTGGCTCAACGTCTCCCTCATGATGCACAATCTGCTCCTCCAAAGACTCAATTTCACTTCTGCAACTTCTAGCATCTAGAATCTTCAATTTCTCCACAAATAAAGACCTTAACTCAGTTGAATCAGGGATTTTCCCATTTTCAAATGCATCAAGAAATGACAAGAAGCGAACCCTGAGATCATCATCTTTCTTGTCTATGAATAACTTGGCATTCCTCGACTGTTTTTTCAACAGTTCAATCTGTTCCCTGACGTCCTTACTTAATTTGACATCGTTAATAGGAAATACATCCAGAATGGTCGATACTTCTTGGTTCAAATCATGGAAATGGCCAGATATTGAATGGTTCTGAAGCAAAAGCCACAACTTACTCGATTGCGCGCAATAGTCAAGAAGAATCTTCGACCGGTACAACAGCAAATAAAGCTCCTTCAAACAGAGAACCGCCGTCGGTGGAATACACGCGCCAGTGTCCGTCAAATATTCCAAAAGTAACTGAAAGACCTGGACCTTTCGAATGAGCGACCGCGAATTCTTGCGCTGGAAGAAGAAAGAGCGTCCGGAAAAGCACGTGACAAGCTCGCTAGCCACAGAGGCGAGGGTTTGAACCAAAGCAACATCGGACAAGTCAACCGGAGCAAGGAAGGCTTCCAACGTCGGCGACCTCCTCCGCCGCAACGACGAGAAGATAGCTCCCGAAGCCATGAAAACCCGAAATGAAATTCTAGGGTTCCCAAATTCACGAATCCGTGAAGGCTGACTCCAACGAGCTGGAAACCTCCACCGGGCGAAATTACCCTCAAAATTCAGAACGAAGCGTCAACAACCGAGCGATTCCAGACCCAATTATCAGATCTGTGAAGTTTTCCGGGAAAAACTTTCCAGTCACCCCAACGGCAAGATGCATACCGCAGAGACGAATAAGAAATAGTTGTTGTCGTTGTTGTTGGGTGGAAGTTTGAATCTTCAAAGGGAGGGCTTAAGAGGAACTGGGAAATCCGAAGCGGAAAGAAATGGGATTAATTAATTCGGCCGAATACGCGTACCAGAAACTAGAAAGAGAGGTAAACAAAAAAGTCTGAATTTCCAAAGATTTTTGTTTTTTTGCCTTTGGAATTCAATTTTCTCTGTTCTTGCTTCAATGCGGCCTTCTTGAAAAATGAAAATGACTTTCCCAACTTTGACGAGAGATTAAGATTATGCAGATTCTTGTCCATTCGTAGGAGAGAGGATAGAGAAAAGCAAAACAGTACAACGACATTACGAGAGGACAAACACAGGATTCTCTGTCAAATTTTACGTTTTTGGGCTTAGCTTGCATTAATCTGGATTAAGATCATGTTTGTTTTTTTAACTAAATTTTTCAAATAACTCATATTAACCTGTATATGAATTATCTATTATAGAGTTTAAGTACTAATAAAAATTTCTGCCAAAACTTTTTCTCAAATGTACAAGTATATAATATTAATATATATACGTGAATAAGTCAACTAACGGACCAAAATATGGAGTTTTCAAAAAAAAAATGCAGAAGTCATGTGTATTTTTACATCATTAAAATTTCTATGTTTATTTTTATACCATTTTATGTTTAACATATTCATTAAATGGTCAACGTTAGTTAATTTAACCATAATAGTATTTTTGTACCATTTTAAAAATTTAATATGTATTTTTGCGCCTAAAAAAAATTTAGAGTATTTAGTACTCCTAGTGAAATATGAAATACTTCCTATGGGTGATTTGAACCTTAACCATTTATAAAATAATAAATTTTGAAAATAATTTACATCTATAGAACGTCAGATTAAAATTTCCATAAGAGCTATATTCATAATGCTAAATTTATGATGGAAAATCATAAAAATTTAAGTTATTCAGAAAGCTCACATAATTTTCCTAAAAGTAAATGAAATGTCTTAAAGTAAAACTAAAAAAACATTCCATCAGTTACTAATATAAGAGTTAATTGGATCTAAGATTTAGTTTTAAATATAAAATTTTTATCTCCTTTTTTTTATGGTTATATTTTTTTTATTAATTTATCTAACTTGAATACATTAACAAAAAAATTGACATATAGTCTATCGTTATATAAAAGTATTTTAAAAAATCATGTCATATATATATATGATAATTAACTCATTTTTTGACTTCTATATTATTTAACATTATATAAAAGTATTTGAAGAGAAACTACAGTATGATAATAAAATGCATACATGGAAAGTGTGAGGAAAATGCATAGTAAAACTTGTAATAAATGAAAGTTAATCAGGTAATCTCTTTTCTGCCCATCAAAAGTCCACATGACTTAAAGAAGACGGACTAGGTAATTAAAAAGAAAGAAAGAAAGAAAGAAAGAAAGAAAGAAAAAGACGGACTAGATGCGTAAAAAACAAAAAGAAAGATTTAAAATAAAAAAAAAGGAAAGAAAACCAATTATTTGTATGAAATATAAAACTAACAAATTCTGTGTTATTCATACTTCATACTTTGTTAAAACAATAATTTTTATTATTTAAATTTTATGCAATTGACAAAAATATATTTAGTATAATAATAGTAATAGTAGTACTGTAGTACAGTAACAACAATAATGATACCTTTAACATTGTTTTCCTTAAAAATTTAATTACGTTATTACTTTTTTATTGGACAAGCTAGGAAATAAATGGTAACAAACATATTCTTAAACTAACAATAACAAGCGATATATATTATCATAATATTCTTTAATTTTTTATAATTTCAAGAAGCCTTAATAGGAATTTTTTATTTTGGGCGAAATTAAAATCCTTCGAACTTCTTAAACAGTTGAAGCCGGTAACGTCATTTATTATAATTTTTGCAAAGTATGGGTCCCTAGATGTGATTTACCCAGAATGTTGGTTTTCATAATCTGAGGTCAGAGTTCCGCAGATAAGGCTTGGCCTGGGCTTTGAGTTTGACTTTGTGCGTGAATTAGGGTTTTCGAAATTGAAATTCCATAATTAGCCTTCTTCGTCTTCCTTTTTCTCTTGTGGTTATGACTTCTTTAAAGACCAAAAAGCCCACAGTGTTTTTCCATTGTTTTGTGTGCTCCGCGTTTTCTTATGTTCCCAAGTACGTCGTTTCAGGGCTTTACCATCATTTCTTTATTTACTTTTATTTGCTTTAATTCAAACCTATAATTTAAAGATCAAAATTTAATAATTGTAATTATTTTTAAGAACATATTTTGATCAGTTTTCAAAATCCAGTAGGGAAAATATTTTTTGAAAAATGCATTATTTACAAAGTTACAATTATGATGGGAGTACTGTGAATGAAATTAATTTCAATGATTGAATCATGGATTTGAGAACTTTATGTACTACTATTGTGATAAATGTTAGTTACATTATCACTAATTATGATATTGATTATAGTTTGACTATTTGGTACTTAATTGTATTGTTTGACAACTCATTTTTCCTCAGGAAAAAAATTGCATTATTATTTTCAATTTCTTTATGATGTAGATCAGAGACCAACGCATGATATATGGAGAGAATTAACTTCGGAGGTTTTCATTCAAAATGTAAAATTTAAATTTTATATTTTTAATATAAAAATTATTTCTATAATTTAAGCAACCCTTCTTACAATTAAGAATAAAATTAAATTTAAATCGTCTAAATTAAACCTAGACAAAATTTAAGTTTTACATTTTGATTGATTAAAAATGTATACACTTGATCGTTCTTTTTTACAATACACACTCTATCATCAACAAAGATTTATTAAATGTTAACAACATTAACAAAGCCCATTTATTTCTAAATGAAATTAAATATTCATTTTTTTCTTTAAAATAACTTGTCCCTTGAAATCTTGAATGTTGCATCTATTCTTTTTTTTTTTTCTTTCTCCTTTCCTTTTTTGTATTTTTCTTTTTGGCCTATGGGTTGCATCTATTCCATTGGACCGCTATTTTATAGTTTTTACTTTTCAAAAATTGACATAATTAATTTAAACGAGGTTAATTTAATTTTCTTTGATCCAGGGGACACCAGAATCTAGGGCCTTAATTTTACATTTGGCATCATAAAAAATTGAAATCAAAAGTTAAAAAAAAATTCACACCCACTTTTTTTATTCTTCTTTTTTGGGTATAATAGGGGGCCAATATCCCAATTTAATTATACTTTTTCAATTTATTTTCTTTGCCCATGAAACCTACGTCTAGAAACTAGGGGAAATAAGCGCGTGGGCGTGGGGCAAATAAGTATAGCCAGAAAATAATTTCTTTTTTATTTTAAGAAAAAAATGAGCTGAGGTCGGTCAAAAAAAAAAGGGCTATGGGTTTGGTGGAGGGGTTGACTTTGGCATGGGCGATGGGCCCACGCGATTTACGGGAGCGTGGAGATGAGAATGGTGAGTTTGCTTTTTAATATGCTGACGTGGGCGGGCAGACCGCGGGTTGACCAACGGCGAGAATCTCGATAACAAGCAGCACTTTTTGCTCCAAAAAAAGGACTTAAAATAAAATTAAATATATTCATTGGTTTTAAGTAATTTGACTTTTTTTTTTTAATAAATACCCTCTCCTGTTCTGTTTATAAGTTTCAGGAATGATATGATTCATTTTATAAATTTTAATTTGAATTTGTCTTAATATTTAATATATTTTTTAATGTTACTCTTTAATTATTTCTTTCTTGTACATTTTTTTTATTCTTTTTCTTCTTTATTATAGGGTATATTTGAAAACGAAAGTATAAGAAAAATTTGGGATAAATTTCTCATTACAAATTTAATTGATAAATGGTCTTTAAGATGACTTATTACACTAGAGAAGATTAATTACACACAAAGGAAGGTGAGCTGCACAAAGAGAAGATAGTCTGCACAAAATATTATTTGGACATAAGAAGTTAGTTTGCATGTAAGGAAGATTATTTGCACATAAGAGAATTTTATTTGTATAATGGGAAATTGAGTTTCACATCATACAAATGAAGACTATACACACAAGGGAAGATAAATTGCACATAAAGAAAATTAAGTTGCACACAATATAAATTAAGTTGCACAAAGTCTTTAGGTTCTATTTTTCAATTAAACTTTCAATGAGAGATTCATTCCTAATTTTTCTAAAAGTCTATTTCTAATTTATTTATCATTTTTAACTATAAACTAGTTATTTGAAACTTATAATAAGGATTAGATGGAGTATTTTTTTGGGCCAGCTTAATATTTTTTATATTGCATAAAATATGAACAATAAATCATATTTTTCTTTGTTTATAAATATTGTAGATTGTTTATACATTTTTACTAAAATTTCATGTTATATATTGATGGGATTTAAATATAATTTGTACAGTAGTTTAGTTTTTAATGACACGTTTTCTAAATTTTTTAGTTACAATACTATTTTTATCTTTTTATACCTTTCATCCATTCACGTTCCCAGTATTATCAATAACTAGTAAAATATTTCAAAAAATTTTATTTGTCATGTAATAAAAATGATAATTAAAATATTTAAATTTTAAAGTCTGTATTATTCAAGGCAGGCTTTATTATTATATAAAATATAAAAAATATTGAAAACACTTTTTTCCATTTCATTTTGTTTTCTTCGGGAGAATTTCTGAATCACGTAAGTATACACTGAATTAAGTCCCAATTCACCTCCTCAGTAATCGGGTGTTTCCTTCCATTACAATTACTAAGCCCTCAATATTATAATTTATACATTACCGTTGGGATTATTTACACAAAACAAATTAGGGTTAACTATAACTTGTTTTTTATAAATAAGTTTGGAAGCAGTACTACGTTCAGTCATAATTATAAAACCTCGTTTATATATTATAAATGGAATATTATAATTAGGACCGAAGGTAGTAATTTTTAAGTTATGTATTGTATAACACAACTTATAAAATGGGGTGTATGATTTCCCACAAATCAAGACAAAATTTCTCTTATATATTTACTTCGTATACTATAAAATCACTTTTAAAATCATTATTTGATTTCCACCCAAAGACTACTCAAGTTTGAGAAATCTTCTGAAATTTATTAAGAAATCCTCAAATAATCTAACATAAACCAACATGATGTTAAAGCTGAAAGAAGCTTTTCG